TGGCCCCAGCTGTGGCTGTCTCCGTCCAGTGCCCCTGAGGCGCTCAGCTGCCGGCCCCTGAAGCCGCGCCATGAGCGACCGAGCCGGCCGCAGGAGGACAAGTGAGGAGCAGGGCCCCTGGCGCCGCGGGGGGGGGCTGCGGGGCCGCAGGCGCCCGCTGACCCCGCCTCTCCCCTAGTGAAGAAGGACGATGAGGGCCTGGACCTCTCCATCCCCTTCGACGAGACGCCGCACCTGGACCCGCAGATCTTCTACAGCCTGAGCCCCTCGCGGGCAGCCTTCGAGGGTGAGCGGGGCGGGGCGCCCACGGCCGCGGTTGGGGGTCCAGGTGCGCCGGGAGTCACAGGCCCGCTGCCCGCAGAGCCCGCGGAGCCCGCGTCCCCGTCGCCGGCGGTGGCGCTGATGGCCGGCGTCCGGGCGCAGCTGCACATGGCGCTGGAGCGCAACTCCTGGCTGCAGAAGCGCATCGAGGACCTGGAGGAGGAGCGGGACTTCCTGCGCTGCCAGCTGGACAAGTTCATCTCCTCGGCGCGCCCCGAGGCCGGTGAGCCCGCAGCCCAGTGGGCCCCCACCGGGGACCTGCGGCGCAGCCCAGCGGGCACCCCAGAGCCAGCCCCTGGGGGCCCACCGCCCTGCTGCGCTCAGCCAGCCCCTAGGGAGACGGGAGTGACGCCCCAGTGCCCCGTGGCCGTCGGAGCCCCCCGTGGCTCACGTGTGCCTCCCGCCCTCCCCAGAGGACCACTGCCGGGTGAAGCTTGGGCCCCGCCGGGTCGAGGGGGACGGCCGGGGCGGCCCTGGGGTCGAGGCCTCAGACCCCGAGTCCGCAGCCTCCTCGCTCAGCGTGGCGTCTGAAGAAGGCAGCAACGGCGAGAGGAAGAGGCCGAGGCAGAAGGGGGGCGCCGGCAGGCGGCGTTTCGGGAAGCCCAAGGCTCGGGAGAGGCAGCGGGGTGAGCACAGGGTGGTGCTGCTGGCTGTGGGCGGCAGTCGGCCGGGCGCGGGCGCCCCCGGGTGGGGGCGCCGCGGGGGGGTGGCCCGGCGTGGGGATCCCGGCCTTTAACCCAGCTTGCCGCTCTGTGCCCCCGCCTTCCGCCTGTCCGGCCGCCGCCCCGCAGTGAAGGACGCGGACGGCGTCCTCTGCCGCTACAAGAAGATCCTGGGCACCTTCCAGAAGCTCAAGAGCATGTCGCGGGCCTTCGAGCACCACCGCGTGGACCGCAACACGGTGGCGCTGACCACGCCCATCGCCGAGCTGCTCATCGTGGCCCCCGAGAAGCTGGCGGAGGTGGGCGAGTTCGACCCCTCCAAGGAGCGCCTGCTCGAGTACTCGCGCCGCTGCTTCCTGGCGCTGGACGACGAGACGCTCAAGAAGGTGCAGGCGCTCAAGAAGAGCAAGCTGCTGCTGCCCATCACCTACCGCTTCAAGCGGTGAGGCGCCGCCGCGCCCTCGCCGAGGCAGAACTACTCGGCGAATCTAAATTAAAGAGACGGTGACATTTGGAACAAGCCTGGCCCGACTCTTGCTGGGAGGGGGCGGCCGCGGCCGCGGAGG